AAAATCATTTTTAACCCGAGGTTCAGCAATATTTGAATTTGGTTTGTTTACCCGATGACGCAAAAATTGCCCTGACTATATACAACTGTTCGGCTCATATTTCACTTACAGGTTAAGTGAAAGATAATGTATCTATATTATTCTTTCCTATAAATTGTACATCTATCATTCAGCCTATGGGTATCATAATAGTGTACACACCAAAATGTAAATATAGAGCAACATTTTTAAAATCCATGTTAAATTTCTTGAATAATAGCAAGACTGTTCAAGAATTTTTTAAAGATTTTAGCACACAATCTGCCATGTAGAGTATCGCAGGATCATGACAGAATGTGTCTCCAGATACTTTGAAAAATGCTTGGCATAATTTATGGCCAGGTGCCATATTTCATGGTGAGAATGATGAAGATGATAGCCACGAATTTAAAGGTTTTTGGACATCACAAACCAAAGATGAAATTTTCTAATTAATGGATTAAAGAAATGTGGAGAAGCGGTAATAAATGAAGATGATATAACAGAGGATTTTCCTTGCAATGACAATGACCCAATCATCAATCAATTAACGGACGGTGAAATCTGTAGTATGGTTCTAGATTCAGAAAATACCGCTATTGATAGTCATAATTTTCCAAGCTTTGTGTGACTGTCAATGCTAACCAGTCTTCCCAAAGAACTTTCAAATAGAAATTTGCAAATCGAATAACAGATTTCTATATTTATCTTTAATCTAAAGGCGTATAACTGATATATTTTCCATAGCAAAAACATTAAAGGGGGTGTACAATTAATTAATAAGAAGTCTTTCAAAAGTATATTTAATTTTTGTGAGAAAAATAATTCTTGAATGAATCATTAAAGATCTCCATTGTAATTGAATCCTTTTTTTCACTGGCATTCCAAAATATTGGCTAATAATCTCAGTTTTACCCTTCACAACTTACAAGTTCACCTAAACAAGTATTACCAACTCTTCTGAAGATTGTTATGTTGCTATAGTAGCTAGGCAGAACTGACAAGCAACTTCCACAACTATTACATCCATGGTTGCAGCAATATAAGACCTGACAATACTGTACACTGGAATCCTCACATAAAGTAACTGTACATTTGAGTACCATGTTTTCGTGTTCAACTAACATGCCCAATTCAGAGGGGAAAGATTAAAGTAGTATCATTAACACCTCAATTGGGCTGTTTTAGACAGGCACAACATCTGCCCTGGAATCAAATTATCTGCATCTAAGGGTCTGAAGACAAATGGAACCAGACCTAGGACATCATCAAACATCATGCATTCAGAGATGGCTGCAATTTTAATAGGATATCACACTAAAGATGGTTGTGATGGCTATCCCATCCTATTATGAAGTTCTACACACCATTATGACACTCCACATTGCAGCAGTTTGCTGATTTCCTCTTTAAGGATGATAATGGCATCCCCAATAAGCCAGCATTGTTAACAAGTACCTGGAGGGGAGGGCATTTTTGTATGGAGTGATGTCTTTGAGCCTGATGTCTCCACAAGTTTACCTCCTCAAGCCAGTCTTGGACAGCTGGAAACTGACTAATTAAGCAATGGCTAATCTCATCAAAAACACGGGAAATTTCTGTAAAGTTTATGTGATGGTCACATACCTTAGTAATGTTAAGTTCTATTTATTTGTTTTTAGCTTTAAATACCAATTTGTTAATGACCCAGATGTTACATCATCACATAATTTACAAATTTAAATATTATTTTCATCTTTGTACATAACGCTTGTTTTTGGTCAACCATACATATGTTTGCTACTTTCATGTAGAATTTGATGTTACTTAAAATTTTACTTTCCCATTTTTGATGAATTTTACAGCTGCATGCTTTACTTTCGGAAGCCATTATAGTATAATAGTAATAATTGGCTTTACCGATTAAAAAATAATTGTAAAATATTCTAAATAATTGTAAAAATAATTGTAAATAATTGTAAGATTGACAAAAACCATACCATATAAAATAAACATAATTAATAGAAAATGAAAATAATTACTCAATAAAAATAGAAAAGAAGAAAATATTTTTTAGAATGGAAATTTAAAGAATAAAAAATAAATAACTAAAAAAGTGAAGATTTAAAAAAAAAAGAGACAGACAGAGAGACTGCTTTTATCACAAAGCTGCAAAAGCAGACTCGTCAACCTAAAAGAATAAAAAATCAGGAGATTTTTCTGAACAACAAAAAGACTTTTTAAATGGTAAAAATATATTTTTAATAACGAATTTAAACAAATATCTGAAAGTTCAGTTACTAATTCTTAAACGTAAACAGTACAAAAATACTTACTTGTAAAAAACATTTTTATTATTTGCATCTTTTAACAAAAAATAATACTTTAATCAGTTTTCGAGCAAACACTATTAACAGTGGCAGATTTTAGAACTCCTTTCAAGATAATAATAAATATCAACAATGTGTTCATCAACATTTATTGGTAAAGAAGCTGCTCCTTTTTCAGCTGGTAAATTTAAGAAGTGACAGGTGCACCTCATAATTTGCAAATCTGAAGCTTCTTTTTTTAAGATACCTGCAATACCAGTCTTCAAACCTACCATTACTGGTGCATTATCAGTACCAAATGCTAAGCAATTATCCAGAGGAATTGAATTTTTGTTTAAAATTTTAATAATTAGCTGTGCTATATTAAAGCCTGTCGAATGTCCTTCTAAGCTGGCAACAGAAAGTAAACTACACTCAATTTCTGAAGAAAGTGGATTAAAATAAGAAACAATTGGATAGAGTTTTGAATCGGTATTATTGCTTCCATTTGTAGAGAGGCAAAATGGAGCTGTTTCAATGCAGTCAATAACCGAAGATTTATTTCTCATACCTATTTCTTTAACAATTACAACTGTTTCGGTCCTTGCACTTGAATATTTCTTATCGGGAAGTATCGCTATCGGAAAGTATTTTTCTAAATAAACCTGCAGCATGATCCAATGCATTCAGTAGCAAGTTGTACTCAAGTAAAAAGGCAAAGAACAGGCATTCAGCATTAATAACTTTTTGGTCTTTCGTTTCCACAGTAAAATCTAATTGTTTGTTTTTTTCAACAGAATTCCTGTTGTCCTTGTGTATTTCCATATGCACACGTTTGAGGACATCAACGCTTACACTATGCAAATTCGAAAAATCGCAATGACAAACAGAACACATCCCAAATGTATTACATTTCCTTAAGGAAATAATAGAAGGAAAGTGATCTGTGTATGATTTTTGAACAGTACATGAGTATTTTACCGTTTTCGTAGACATAACTAGCACAAAAGATCGTAATTCCTTAAACTATTTCTCGAAACGATGTGCGCTTACACCGGTCAATGACAAGATGAACGAAATAACAACCAGAGAATGTCTAATGCATATTCTTTGACCTCGGTTTGAGCTCATTGGCTAATATATGCCAAGATGATATGCACTGGCGCTTGATGCTGATTGGAGAACCGGAACACAACGTTTCTAAACACATGTGGTCTCACTCACAAAGCAGAAATGCCGCATAATTTCTCACTGACGAAACGAATTTGGTTTTCTTTTAGATGTAATCTAGAGAAAAAACAAGTGACGCCCAGAATCACTTTTTTGGTGCAAAGAACGAAGTATTAAGCCAAGCTACATAAACATCGTGAGAAATTTTAAGAATAAATTAAATAAGAAAACAGTCAGAAGAAATCCATTAAAAATCGGGTTGGTGGGAGAACGGTCAAAAATCGGGAGTCTCCCGCCTAAATCGGGAGAGTTGGCAACTCTGCAAAAAAGTTTGTGATATTTTACCCAGTAAACATTTATCTGCACACAATACTCCTGAGGAAGTGCTTTACCAATTACAGCAAATAATGTCAAAACAATATAGGGTACTCTTCGGTTTTGAGGGCAGTAAAAAAATTGCAGCGAAAATGTATACGCAAAAGTGCCAAATCCAGCAAACGCGCCCATTTAACAGCGCGCCAAATCTAGAGCACGCACTGGTTTCAGATTGCGTAAGTTTTTATAGTTCTATATTTCTTAAGACGCCACTGAAATACTAGTTTAATTTTTAAATGCTTTTTCCTATGGATTTAACAATTTGGGAATTGCCCATGATGAAAAGTCGGCAATAGAATTTTGGGTAAAGTGCAGAATCATGCACTGCTTGAGGGGTTTTTAAGAATTGCACATACTCGGTATCCATGTGCACATCGACCTATTTTCACTTAAAAAAAAATCCCAGAATTGTGGCACTGCAGACCCCCTTGACTTTATCTATGTACACATCGACCTATTTTCATTTGAAAAGTAAAATAAAATTGATAAAAATCCCATTTTTTTTACTCTTGTAAAAAGCAGCAGACAACGATTCTGCACTTCTGAATTCCGATTCTGAATATTTTCAAAGAAAAGGCATCATTCATTATAGAAAATTACGTTTGAACAACCAACGAGATGAAATTATGCTTTAGCGATACGTCGGTAGCTAAATAGCGATGCAGGTATCCATTCAGTTATGTTTAGCAATTTTTATATAAATTATAATAATGATTTGAAATATTTATTTACTCTTATGTAAAAAAGTATTATATGAAATTAACCTTTCATCTAAATTAAAACATCAATCTTAGATAGTTATTTACTATTATACTTCCTTTCTTGCCGCAATTTTTTTTGGCAGCATTGGCATCAACAATAGTTTGGCGATTTTTTACGGCCCTCGAAACCGAATAGTACTCAATATAGATTTGAGGAAACATGAAAGTAAAATGAATCAAACAATACAGGTATATATTATTGAATCTCTAAAACTAGGACACATTAAAAATGTACACAATTACTTTTATAAAATGAAACATTTACATTGAAGAGTATTTTGTTCTATCATGAATGAAAATTTACATAAAGGAAAAAAGAATAATTAAATTCAAAGAGAAGTTTAATATATCAAGGAATATTATTAAAGTTAAACAAAAGGTAACAAACCAATTTTAGGATGAAATGCAAGTGGATTACGATCAAGACAGGCTTTGATTGCTTTTTGCCTTTCTTCTTCATGAGATAAGTTGTTATAACAATTGTTACAGTTACAGTTGTTGCAAAATTCTCCATTTGCAAAACAATCACAATATCTAAAGCAAATACAATATTTAACATGTCAGTTCACATACAAGGACAGTATGTTTAATGTAAAAATTAAAACACATCTGCAAAAAGAAAAGACCACTTAAAATGACACCTAAAGTTGTATTTTTTGCTAAGCTTCTAACAAAATTTTATCAGAAGGATTACAATCTGTTTTACCCTGATAAAATATTTATTAGAATAAAACAGACTGTAATACTTCACAATCAAGTATGTTACATTAAGAGATTGCAAAGAACACAGAAAAAGAAAAGTAATCCAAAAGGAACAGTTATGGTTTTATATTTAAATAATAAAAAAAAAAAAAAAAGCAAAAAGCTGAAAACATCTCAAAGCATTACTAATAAAGGATGTAATATGTCAGAAGTTAACCTAAAAAATTCAGCAATTTAATAGCATTTTCCCCCCCCCTTCTTCTGATGTAGTCTGCACCGAGGTTCAAGAAACACATGAAGACTCATAAATGCAGGTAATTTAATAAAAAATAATGCAATTTGAAAATCTACTTATAAAACTTAGCAAAAAGAAGACAATTAAAATTTTATGCTTCCAATTACAACAACAAAAAAACAAAAAACAAAATAAATAAATAAATAAATCAGAAGTTTAAAACATGTTAAACAAGCCAAAAATTAAAACTATCCAAGGAAGCCACCCAGACGGTATAGTGGTTAGGGTACCCTGACTGCGATACCAAAGGGGACGGGTTTGAATCCCGGAGAAGGCATGGATGTAAAATTTTCTGTCTCTTCATAGGAGGTAACGGTGGCCGCCTACTAGGTGCGTTCATAATAAAATGGTCACCGCCTACTAGGTGCGTTCATAATAAAATGGTCACCGCTTCTGGCCTTAGCAGTGGCCAATGCCGTTATAGGCAAGTGCCCACCATTTGGGAAAAAAAAATCCAAGGTGGGGTGTGGGGACGAATTTTTATTATTCAGCATTTTTATTGAATTTGGCTTTTAGGTAACACAATGCTTAGGCAAATGAGATGCACATGAAAGAGAACTTCAGAAGTGAAAAAATAAGGATTTAAAGAAAACATTATAAGAAATATTAAATTTAGATTACTAAATTAGATTTAGTTTCAGCCTTTTTTAGCATTAAATAAATAAAAAAAAAAAATAATAATAGTGTTTCGCTTACAGATGAATTTCATTATCTCTCCTTTTTCTGTTCCTTTCTTTACATTTCATACATGATAAAAGCATAACAATCTACACTTATTAGAAGTAAAAACTTAATACTCCTAGAGCCTAATAACTTTTTAAGATTTAAAATTTTTAGAAAATATTTTTAATAAGCCTATGGCACCAAAATTTAGCAAAAATATTAACAACAGCAACATTACCACTTACAATATCAGTTAACTACAAAACATTTCTTTAAACGCGTAAATAACAAAAAGAGAAAGAAAGAAAAATAAAAGACAAACTTGATTTTGAATAAAAACTTACAGTTTTAGACACTGTGATTTAGTACAATTACATGGTTTCCTTGGCCGAGAGTCATTTTCCACAGGAGCTCTTCTGCAAAGAAAGAGAAATAGTAAATAATTTATAATACTTTACATTAATTCTGAAAGCACACTTTTCATACAATTCATATTTTTATATTCATTAATAATAATCAAAAAGATTTTAAAACATCATTAATTATTTTTTTATATAAATGCATTCCTGAACTCAGACTGAGTTCTATATAACTTTTACATTGTGGGCCACTAATAATACATTAAAACTGCATGGCTTAAAAAAATGAAGGAAATAATAGTAACAAACTTGATGAAAACATGTTATTTGTTGACTATTTGATGACGTGAATGATAACATGATTGTGCAAAATTTCATGAAAAAACATTTTCTTTTCACAAAAGAAAAAGAAGGAAATCATATCTAATTATTTTTAACTAATTATGGCAACATACTCATGGGCTATGAAAAAATTGCAAATATTGTGCCCTTACATTATTCTTGATGGCAGCTCTCAAAAAGGAAATAGTGCAATCAGAAACAATGCAACTTTCTTGAGCTATGCACATCAAGCACACTGTAGTTTTTGGTTTTTAAGCTGTAGATTTAATCAAAATTTCTGCCTTGAGTGGCAGCTAGGCCTACCACTTTGTGATAATTTCATTACAGTTGATGACTGCTAAAGCAAGGTACACTTTCCATTTTGATTTTTACAAAGGTAGAACAATTACTCCAGCTGAAAATCAACCAGCTTTGCCGAGCATCCTTTTATTTTTAATTACATGATGCTTTATGAAGAACAAAAGATACGCTTCTTTTGCTACAGATATCATCTGTACATGAGATTTGCAGCCAGATCAAATTCTGTATAGCTATGCCTTCATGTCATACATTTAGGGAATTTTAGAACTCTCTGTCAAGATCTGTTTTTGGTGCTACTTTTCTGTTTTCGCTTTTGCTTTGAACATACTAAAAAACTGTTTCAATATTTTTTTCTCAATATGTAGCTTACAAAAGCATGATATCAATATATGCACTACCGCTGTCAAATACTTGAAAATTTTTTATTTATTTAAATAAGTTTTCCACATATCTGAATAAAATATTACATATGAACTATAAAACAAATTTATCCTATTATTACAAATAAACTAAAATCCATGCTTCGATCCTTTATTAATGAATTGGTTCAGTAATCCTTAATAATATTATTTGAAACAGATATCACTCATTAAATAAATGTGAAATTACCCATTAACATGCCTGGGAGAATGGTGAGCAGCATGACCTGATGAGGAATTTGAAGACTGGAAAGAATTTTGAGGAGGATTAGATGAAAGTGAAATATATGCTGACTGAGTTCCTGAATTAGGGGCTGCTGGTGCAGGAAGTATATTTAACATTTGAGTTCCGGTCACTTGCCCAGTGGACGGCTGCTGAAGCTGCAGTTTCATTAAAATAAGTAAGATATAAAATACACCCGAATTACTATAAATTATTTTTCAAGTGTGACCAAAATAATAACTCATATTTACAGGATTATAATGCAACTTATAATTTACGTACTCAAGAAGAAATGTATACAAAAATTTCTATAAAAAGCATATAAATTTGCACACAAAACATTGTCTTTCAAAAATTACAATTTACCCAAATTTTACTTTAAAAAAATTAGGAATAACAAGTTTTCTTTAATTAAAAATAAGATTAATCTCAAGTGATTGCATATTAACTATCTATAGTTTACAAATTGTAAAATATTATCATTCTTTTTTTAAAATGAGAATTAAAAAAAGCATTAGAAATAGGCAGACCAAAATAAAACTTACATTATGAAGAATCAATAACAAAACTTTTAACATTTACCTATATTTATTGAAAATGATTACATTAATTGACTTTAACTCAATTTTTCATTAAGATTTAATGAAATGCTAAAAGTCCTTATAATTTTTTCCAAATAATTCACTTTTAAAGATATACACAAATTAAAATTTCAAATTAAAAAAAAATGGATTTCTTCAAGATGTTAATGTTAGATTCTTCCATTGTTATAAAGTTGTTATAGTAAAAATAATTTAGTCTTTGTGTATACTTTTATGTGATTAATGTAGTGTCACCTTTTAACAATTAGTTAACTAATTATTTAACAACTGAAAAGTATTCACAAAATATATGTACATTCCAACTTATCTACAATTTACAACCAGTTTATTAGTATCTAATCTATTACTGATAACAGGGTAGTTAAAATTTTGCACTTTATTTTTACTTCAGAGATTTGTTTTTACTTACAGTTAAGGTAGGTTTGTTGGAATATGGCAAAGCACACAACGGCTATCCGTCTGAGGGGAGGGATGCCTCCTTGGAGGACTCTCTACAGGAATGGCTCATATTCATGGAAGGGAAAAAAATAAAACCACAAAAACCAAGTATGTAGCCCATTTGCATAAGATCTAACCCTAAGTATTTAGTTGTCTTAACAACTCGGCCGTTGATGGGGCTTAAAGGAATAATGATTAAAACTGGAAACAGAAAATTTTATTTAAATTTCCCATATTCCTTTCTTAGTTACAAAGGTAACTCAAGCTCTTTATAAAAATAATAAATAAGACATTTCAAAAAAATTCAGTAGTACAGAATTTATGATGAACAGACAGGCGTAATCTTTTGGATATTAAATTTAAAGGCAATACTAAATTCATAAAAAAAGAAGGGAGGCAGCTTCGGTTAAAACTAATAAATTGTTTACTTACTTAAAAAAGCTAATATTCAGCACGCAGAAAGTATGTAAAAGAATTAGAATGTATGATAATAATCTACATGGACATTGTATACTTACATAATTTTCTGGTTACGTTCAGTGACATTTCAGCTGAAGATTACAAAGAAACAAGAGCAATTAGAAATGGAAAAGAAAGAGGGGGAGATTAAAAAAGATAAAGAAGTATATAAATGCCCATACTTGGCTTTGGCTGGACTACTAGAACAGAAATATACAGGGTGTTTCGCTACCAAACCGACAAACTTGCAGGGTGTGCAGGGGGTAACAGAGACAACTCGAAATCACATAGAAATGCAGGGTTGCAAATGCCGTAGTTGTAATAGCTTTGGTGCAAAGAAGCAGAGAAAAAGAACAGAAACAGCAACACATTAATGAGACAGAAAACACTTTATTGAAAGTTTGTACTACAACAGGTGTTTGAAATTACGAACAGAAGTGGTCTGGTAGGCCTGACAGTGGCGCTACATGGAATTCCTTACATTCTGGAAGATTCTTGGCATATCACATATCCTTCTGACAGCTACAGATATTCGAGCGACGAGATCTTCAACTGGAGGAACAAGTGTCTCATACACCAATCTCTTCATGTGACCCTAAAAGAAGAAGTCCACGCATAAGTCAAGCGATCTGGGAGGCCAATGAACTAGGCCACCAGGACCTATCCACTGCTGTCTAAAGGCTATGCCGAGATGTCAGCAGATGTCAATCATGTAATGCAGAGGAGACCCGTCATGTTGGTCCCACAGGAAACAGCGTGATGACGGGGGAACATGTGCTGCATCAAGAAGTTCGAGCAGGACTTGTTGCAAGATCACGCATGCTTTACTATCCAAAGGACTGGGCAGAAGGTACAGTACAATGAGGTAGCCTCCAAGAATGTTGGCCCAAACATTGACCGATAAACGATCTTGAGCTGCAAGTGGTTGCGTACGATGAGGGTTCTCCAAAGCCCACACATGGACTGCCAGTAGCACGCTGTTGCAGGAACCATGTAGCAAACGTTCTCTGGAGTGGATAATCATTAGACTCTAATAACTGTACACAATGAAGATGGCATGTACTCATTTAGTTTGCTGCGAGTGTCCTCCAGACAATGGACTGAGATAAACCTACTTGTTGGGCTATAGCTTGAATATTCGTATTTAGATTGTCTTCTGCCAGACATAATATCGCTTCCTCATTGGCAGGCGCCTGTTCGAGTAATGTTCATGGCACAACTGCTGAGCAACGTGCCTGTTACAATCCACAGCTACATACACAATCAACATGTTGACCAGTTCATCGTTTGAATCTGCATTCATCCTACTACCTCGGAAAACAGACCACAAATGACAATTTAAAGCAGGCTTACTGTTCACGCAACCTTACACCCAGTGCCATCTACCACAAAACTGCTGTCAGGCTTGCTTGATGTCTTCTGACCATAATTTCGAACACCTGTTATAGTACAACCTTTCAACCATTTTCTGTCCCATTAATGTGTTGCTATTTCTGTTCTTTTTCTCTGCTTCATTGCACCATATCTTGGAATTACGGCATCTGCAACCCTGCATTCCCATGTGATTCCGAGTCGCCTCTGTCCCCCCTGCAAGTTTGTCGGTCTGGTAGCTAATCACCCTGTATATTTCTGTTTTAGCATGTAAGGACTAAGAAGTTGGAATGATAATGTGTACTGGATAAAAAAAATAAAATAATAATAATAATAATAGTCTGTAATTCTAAATGCTTGGTCATTCAAGGCTTCCACTCAATATAGTAATCTTCATGCGAAAAACTATATGTATGAAAAGTTTCATCATGTATGTGCTTTGATTACATTTTACCCCTTTTCTATTAAATGTACAAATGGATAATTCTGAAAATTACAAATTTTTCTTATGAGAATGAGTGTTTATTATGTTAAATATTTATAATTTTTGACAGCAATAATATTCTGTAATTCTAAATGCTTGGTCTAGCTAAATATAAATAATAATTTAATAAAATCAATGACAGACATTGAAGTATTTTAAGGTTTATATGAAACGACTTTCTAAATTAATGCCCAAAAAATATTATGAAGCAAAATTCCTCTTTTATTCTCATTATTTAGTTATATTTTAATAATTATTCAGTATCTACAAAAAATTATAAAGATTCTAATCAGTTCACTTTACAGACATTTCTCAAACATTATTGTTATGAATTTTGTACATCGACACATAATTTTAGTAGAATTCTAGCTGAAATTGCTTTATTTCTTTTGTATAATGTAACATTAGATTTACTATTTACTGTCTATAATTAAAGCAACTGCTTAAGCAACAAAACTGAAAGAGGAAAGGTGTTATTCTCCTTTTATTCTTTTCTACAATAACATTAAATTTCAAACTTTTAAGAGTTACTCAAAAGATCAGCAAATCATGATGTGAAGTGTTATCCAAAATGCCTTACTGCCTTAATATTGTGCCATTAAATCACCTTATCCAATTTCTGCAGCATTTCTTTAAGGTAAATATACTTTCAAACAAAAATGAGATCAAATCCAGATTCTGCATTTAATTTTGCTGACATTAAAAATTTTAAGTAGAAAAAAAATTTCACAAAAATGTTCCTTTTTTAAAAAGTATGCTACTTAATTTTTTATTCCTCTTCTTAAAACAAAATATATACAATGAACCATTTATTGCATAACTTATATTACTAAAACATAAATATTCAAAATATGCCTTCCTTTCTTAAAACTATATTATGACTGCAGAGAATCATACCAATAACGATATAACATATATATGGTGATATTTCAGAGAATTTGCAGTCGTGGTAGGTTGATAGAATTTAGCAGATAGCTGACTAGAGAAGATAAAACCAATCACTTTTCAGATGTGGTAGAGAAGAGCGACTGCATAGATTTGGCAGATGCAAAAATCACAACTGGCTGGATCATTAAAACATGATTTTTTGTTATGAACAGGAAACATTCTTCAGAGATATATTTTTTTAAAAATTGGTACAGCATTAGAGGTGCTAATTTCTATATACCATTTTAGATAATAGAAAGAAGATGTTAGTGAAGAGACGAGACTATCCCAGGCAGAGTCACGAGGCGAAAAAGTGATAAGTAATAACTGCATTCATATTTATAAGCTTGAAAGTTCTCTTTTTGAATCCTGAGCAGCAACTGGACAAAGTTTATTTTGCTAGCAGGCGAAAAGTGATACATAGTAACTGCATTCATATTTATAAGGTCGAAAATTTTTTGTTCAGCAATTGGACAAAGTTTTTTTCTTTGCAGTGGAGAGAAATTTCAAGGAAAGAGTGACATAAAATGGTGCAAAACTTATCACTGAAGAGAGGATGTGTTTAAATAAATATTATGAATTTAAAGGTTGGTCTCAATTGGTTCCAATTAAGTTTAATAATTTTATTTCACATTTCTTATTTTACAGATATGATTTATACATATACAGTTCATTATATACATACATTCATTATATTCATACAGTTCATATTATTCATTATACAGGTATAAAATATATTGTATATATAATTCATTACACTGTTTATATATTATTAATTTCAAAATCTGTTTTTGGTCACCAGTTCAAAGCAATATTTTACCTGTGTGACATACTGAGCTGGAACCATTACATAACTTTGTGAGCCTCCACCAACAGGAATTAAAGTTCCGGCAGGTAACTGACTCAACTGATTAGAAGTTACTGTATTACCACCACGTATTTGGGAACCCGATGCAGTAGGAATTAAAAACTTAGGACCAATCTGTTTGGGAGCAACCTAGTAATTACAAACAAATGCAAATTAATTTGTTTTATGATCAAATGGAAAAGGTCAATACAAATTTAAACTTTTATTTAGCTTCAAGTCTTATAAATAATCACTTTTGCTGCAATAAACAAGAATGGTACTATCTGATTGTCTGAACCCCTATCGAAAAGTTATGAAACATATTCATGAAGGAATGCAGTATATCAGCAAAACAGTTATGTGGCAACACATGATGTACTCAAAAGTACTTTAGTGGAAATCCAGGCATATGTAGCACATGTCTGTTTACATGAATTTGTCCTTTTGGAATTCAGTCATCATATGGAATTCTCATAGTACACCACCAGTTTGAAAATGGCTCTTGCCTTTGCCACATCAACCAGATGCGGATAATGAAAAAGTACTCCAAAAATAAAATAAATATTAAAAAAAATTCTAGTTAAACCATTTTACTTACACCCACTAAATGGGAAAACAATTTTTTAGCTATCATGACATTATTACTGAGCATAAACGACTAAGATTTTGATTTAAAATCAGCCATTAGATGGATTTTAAATTTAAACTGTCAAATATAAATTTTAAAAAATAGAATGCAGTCATTTGAATGCTTTCTGATTATCTGCACCCCCACCAAAAAGTTGCCAACTTGTTGCCAATTTTGGAGAGTATTTGCAAACTCTATGCTAATTTTTTGGTCAAGCTAATATAAGAAAGGCAACAGCCATTTTCAAAATGATGGTGCATCCAATGAATCAATAGCATTAAAAAGTATGAAGCATACTAAAACACTTACCTTTTTCAAGAACTACTGATTTTTTTACATTGTTGTTCTCTCATGTATACAGCAAAAAATTTTTCCCTTAAAAAAATCACAGAACTGTACAAACTGATCAGCCGTTAAAATTCAGCACTGCACACTGGTCAAAACAGACATGTTCTACATGCATACCCAGATTGCCACATGAATACTTTTTGGTTAAATCATGAGCTTGCCACATAGCTAGTTTGGCATCATATTGTTTTGTCTCATGAAAATTTTTACCACTTTTCGGTGGAGTTGTGGATAATCAAAAGTACCAAATATTCTCCCACCTCAAGATTTTTGGAGGCAACCAAAAATTTTCTTTTAAGTCATATAAGTTCAAGAATACAATGGTAGATTTAAAACAAGTGTTATTTTGACATTTTAATGCAGTTAACAAAAACTGTATTACTTAAAAGGCTTTTCATACAAATTTTATTTCATAGTTTTTAAGCCAAAGCAGAAATAGTTTTTAATCCAAAGTACTTAAACCATAAAATTCAGTTCAACAGCAATGTTGCGAAATAATTTTAAAATGAGCATATCTTTAGAATTTCCCATACACAGTTCAGCGAGCTGGAGAAAAAAAGGTTTTTTCCCCTCCCGTAGAGTGTTGCTATTGCTCGCTTTTAAATCGTCGAGTTTATTAATAAAAAATTCGTTAAAGTTTTATAAAATATGAAACCAATAATAAAAGAAATTCCAAATTTCAAATTTGGTCTTCCAGATGCCCATATTCGCAGTAGGATTACGCCATTCAAAATTTGATGGTACCGTTGTTTTATTACAATGCAAGAAACATACATACATTTATGCAGATTCTTCATTATTTAATTTCTTCAAATATAATACAGGGAAATAGTATTTGGTGGCAACAGTTTGAAAAGTGAAACGGACATTCAGAATGATTCAACCCAAAATCGCAAAACGAAAACAATAGTCTTTCAGGCAGTTAAACATGTTGTATACTCTTAAGAAACATTAACCTAAACAAAATTACCATTTAAAGGAGTTAAAGGCGATAAAAGTGCATCATCCGTGTAACAGAGAAATCCGTCCATGAAAAAAACCAAATTACTAAATGTGAGATCGCAAATCACTCACAAAAGTGTGCCCAGTCCGGAAATAGTTTTTGTACAGATCGCTTATTTCTTACAGATCACCAATTTTCAAACCTGAATTCAGGCCTAATACATGAAGGTATCAGTTTAAAATGTTTTTAATCATTTCAAAATCGAAACTGTTTGTCGGGTTATGCAAAATCGCAATGGCTTGTAATTGGCTTACAAAAGGAAGAAGCTAATGATTTATGCAAATACACTTTACACATCATTTTGATTTTTTAAGATAAACGTGAGCATATTTTTCAGATAAAAGTAAGCGTATTTGTCAGAGTTCTCAATGTTATGAATCGATTATGTCTCTAACCATGCAAGACCATGCTTTTCTCATGATATGTTATGAATGCTATAGCACTGAACGACGTGCTTTGCAAAGTATCTTTCAGGTAGAGTAAATGCCAAGGGCCAATAACACCTCAGGGTTTGATGGAAATGATGGCAAAGTTTGAAGCCACGAGTTTGTTATCTCTTGCACCTGGGAGAGCAAGGAAACCTGCTTCTGAGGAAACCAAGGTTGTTGCATTAGCAGTGGAGGAAGAAACAACGGAAGCATGCGTGGTACGTAGCGTACCATGGAGTACAATGTACAAAACTGTCCGTAAAGTGCTGCAGTTCTACCCATACAAAATCAAACATGTTCAAAACTTGAACTTATCAATCCTGCTGCAAGAATATCTTTTGCTTTGGAATTACCTGCATGGATGGAAGTGGATGAACATTGGCTATGGAACATTTTTTGTGGACAGATGATGCCCATTTTAACTTAAATAGAGATGCCAACACCAATAACTGCAAGATTTGGGCCAAACAAATCCATCATGTTAACTACCTAGTTCCATTGCATTCTCCTAAAGTCATCATTTGGTGTGGTATGACAGTTAATTTAATAATAATTGGACCATTTTTCTTTGAGGAGCAGCTGACAGCTAGACCTGTTACATGCACTGTGACTGCAGCTCACTTAGCCTCAATGTTAAGATGTTTCGTGATACCTGAACTACAGCGATGTGGCATTTTAGACAGTAAGGTTTGTATGGAGGATGGGGAAACACAGCACACTATACATGTACCACACACTTACATAGGCAATATTTCACAAATGAACAGATTATAGGTCGACACGTCTTGACTACCCTGGTCACCAGACCTCAACCCCTGCAACTTTTGAGTATGGGGTTATTTCAAAAGCACTGTTTATGGTAATAATCTAAACAATTTGGTGAAATTGACAGATGCAATACAATGATATGACTGTAACATCCCTCTTGATATGCTAAGCACTGCTGTTGAGAATGCAGTAATACGATTTAACTTGCTTTCAGAAAATGATGGATGGCACATTGAACATGCTTTGTAATATGTTTCAGAAATGATTAAACACGTTTTAAATCAATGTCTTCATGTCTTATTTTCATTTAACAATATTGCATATAGCACCGTTTCCCCCTGGTGTTGAGTTTTGAACTTTTATTTTTTCCCGCAGAAAATAAATTCCAATGACCTCCTTTACACGATTACCAAGTTTGATAACATTTGGAACAATAGTTTACCTTTTATGACCATTTCACAGTGGAACTTTAATTTTAACCACTCTGTATAATAAGCAATCAGTAGTTTTCCTCTCTTTTTGTTAAGATTTGTTTTATTTTGTTTGAAAAATTCAAGGAAACGAGCATAAAAAAAATAATTTCACTGTGATTTGTACAAGCTTTGCTCATAATTCTGATGTTACAAATTTACTTTCCTATAAAGTACTTTAAATTATCAAGTATAAGCCAATTCATGAATACACAGTGAGGTAAGATTTTACTGTAAAAGTGAGTAAATATTAAAAACCCAAACATAAGACAAATTTACAATAACCTGATAAAGTCAACTGCATATTTTACCATTTAACTTAGCTAAGCCAAGCAGATGTGTCCCTTACCTTCACATTTTATTCGAAAGCTAAGACTGAGAACATTTAGAAAGAAAAGATAACTTGGATACCAGAAGTTTCTCTTACTTTTGAAATATAGAGATAACTTAAATCAATTAGGATATAAAGATAAATTAGTTCAAGAATTTGAAGACGCCACTTAATAAGGGAGTACTTTTACACTATCAATGCTCTGGATGCAGTACGAATGATATTAATGATAAATAGCAATAATACAACCCAAACAGCAAACGACAATCAAGAACATACTTTTTAGTTTACATTACAGATATTTCATCCCAAAGACATACTGGCTATGGATAATTCCACCACAAATATACATAAAATGCTGACAGATGCAGAAATCATAGAAAATATGAAAAATGTGTCTCATATGAATATGGAAAAGAAGAAGCAGATAATGCTATTTAAAATAATCCCAAAAGAAAAACAGAAGACCTTTGAAATGTTAAGAACTTTTCTCCAGTCCCAGAAAGATGTTAATCAACATGAATTTTCAGCCAATAATAACTTTCAGCAGGTAATTTCGAATATTTAAAATTTTAATAATCTTTCAAGTTACATTCTAATTTTGAAAATCTGGAAATACACTTTAGACAAAATGTCTAATTATATTTGCAAATTTAAAGATCCATAACAAAAACTCACTTCTCTATCTGCTACTTATCCCTACAATTGCTTACAACTTTTAATGCAATTAAAGCATAATTTGCTACTTTTAAATTGATTAAACTTAAAATATTGTTTGTTTTCAAGATTTAAATTTAAATGTATAACATGAAAAGAAACCCTTCTAAGATGAAAGCTCACTGTCCCAGATAATTTGGTATCTGAGGGAAATGACTATCTTAAAGAAATAATGTTAAATTCTGATGCTTATTTATATTGTAGGAAATACTAGTTGCATTTTTTTTAAAATAACACAAAAGCTATACTAACCAACTTAGCAGGAGCTATAGGCACTGTTGGACGAACCTGTGATGCAGAAGTATGTATAGCTGCTGTAGTAACAGCAACATTTGTAGCTACGGCTGCTGTACTACTAACAGGTATGAGAGTAGATTCCTTTTTTACTGCTAAAAACAATACTAATTTCAGCAAAAAATATAAACACTTTTCAGTAACAGAAAGGGTCAAAATCATAAAAAATTTCTATTATAGTCTATAATTATATATTCCTTTTATATTCTATAATTATATATTCTGAATTATTTATTCAGGATAACACAAAATACTCATGCCTATATTTCCACAAGAACAAGTAAAATTGAATTTTAAATTAAATAAATGAATAATAATAAACAACAATCAAACAATTAATTTATAAAAAGTTAACTTCAGAAGAAAATATATTTTTAATTTATTTTTCAGACTACCATACTAACAAACACATAAAATCGTCTTGCATACAAGACACTCACATTTCAGAAAATATTCCCACAAAGAAAAAAAAAATCTTGTGTTAAGCTGACCTTGTAAACATGAGCTTGATATGCTGAAAGAGTTCTCCTGGGAAAGATTACATAATCTAAATACTGCATTTGGAGATGAAATGTGTTAAACATGTTTCTTTTAAAATAAAAATTATGTGATAAACTATATTTTTCAAATGTTAGGCAGAGCATCTGACACGGCTAATGGGAAAAATATTGTTATATTTGAGATATTGTTATATTGAGTATGTATTTAATAAAAGATTTATTTTATTTTATTATAAATGGCCAGAAAACTGGTTATGGTACCATTAGATCTCCAGTCTTCCAATATTATCTAGCTTTACAGTTTAAAAATACAAGTGCACAGGATGAGTCAAGAACAGTACCATCAAAAATTTGATGTTGTCTCCACAGAGGATATAAGGCAGAATCACAATGCCCAAGACAGTACAAGTATGCGTGCAAACAGTCATGGCCAGTAGTAAGGCGGAAAAGTGCCACAGCTGCACTTCTAGGAAAATCTGAGATCAACTGTATGTCTTCAAGCAATGAGGCCCATGGCTTATCAGCAGCATCACACAGTACTCTGATTTAACCTGAAGGCATATCTTCTTTTTATTGGGAGTTTGACTGAATGAAATGAGAGACTTTTTAAAGGTCTCTGGAGGACCCTTGCGCCCTTTTTGGCCAAAAAGTCGGCAGCCTCGTTCCCAGAAATCCCACAGTGAGCTGGGGTCCACTGGAAAGAAACAGAGATTGACACTGAGAGCTCTCAGCACTCCAGTATCAGGGTATTATTTGTGTATTCTCTATCTGTAAGAGATTGAAGAGCAGACAGGTAATCTGACAAAATAACCGCTCTGCAGAATGACAAAGGGTGGGTAATCAGTTGCTTTAATGCAATATAAATAGCCTTGATTTTGCCATCGTAATGGTGGAATGAGCACCTATTGGTGCATAAAAAAGATCACAAACACATGGGCTCCCACTTCATCTTCATTATTAAACACTGATCCATCTGTATAGACATATAACCATGGTCTCTAAGGTGTTTGTTTTCAATGGTAGATACAGCAATGGCATGAACCTGTTATTCGCTCACATGACTCTCTAACCTGCATATTCAGCTTCACACACACCAAGATACCTCCATACTCCAAAGGGCAAACAGGCCTACAGAGAAGTTGAGAACTGAGGTGGACATTCACGTTAGTGGCCACAGAATAAGCGTATTGTATAAACCCTTTTGAGTTATGAGATTTCTCTCTGTGTTGATATCGTAATCCCTCCAAAAAGTATTGTTGGGCAGGTGAATCAGTTTCTCATAAAAAAAGGACTGCATCTCTTTCAATTATGTTTCTTATTGGAGGGTTTTGAGTTTCATCTATCACGAATTTCTACTTGAGTGTCAACTAAAATTTGTGACTTTTGAAACAGCTGTTGCAATGCATCCATCGGGTATGGCCAGAACTGTACTGGAGTGGACAGTGGAACTTCCTCCATGACAATGCTTGTTTGTACACTACGGTACGTATGCTCAACTTTCTCTTACAACGCAAGGTGACTCTTTGTCAACATTCTCCTTAATCTCCAGATTTATCTCCAGCAGACACTTTCTTTTTATTTCCTTGCCTTAAATTAGCTCTAAAAGGCTTTACGCTTTGCAAACTTTGTGGATATCCAATAACAAAGTAACCATCGCGCTCCGAGGGATTTCACAAGATGTGTTTGCTGACAGTTTCCAACAGCTTTACGACCAATGTCAGAAGTGTTGTAGCTAATGGGATTACTTTGAAGGCCAGTAGAGGTAATTTGTTGTAACTCTTCTTTCCTTTATTTTCTGAGACCATTCACTGGACTTTTCAGACTTATCACAAGTTGACTGTAGATGCAATTACCACCTTTTTTATTACACACTATTCGATTACCCTATTCATTCTAAACTGATGCTGTTTGTTGCCTACTCCTAGAAATCAAAAATGGGGAGATCATATCAAATACGGCCATTAGAATTGCAATACCAGAAAGGAATGATCTGACGAACGTCAAAATCATATGAAAGGAAGAAGTTGGTATATTCAAATGATCAGTACTTCAGTGCATTTAGATGATGCAGGAGGGAGATATGACATCTGCATAAAAGAGAAGTTGTGTAGTGGATTTCGCATTTCGCATCATTAGTGCATTGTATGATTGGAATTTGCTCAGAATATTGTGTTCTGTCTCGAATAAGAAGAGGAGATGCTTACCAGTAAGCTTCGTAATTTGATAAAGGCAGGATTGTCACCTATCGAAAGTTTAGATTATCGTTCCGTGATATAGCCGGACGCATTGGTCGACATCTAACTACTGCCATGCAGATATGTAATCAATGGATTGCTGAGGGCCATACTGAATGGCATGAAGGATCTCAACGCCCTCCCAGGACTAACGTCAGAGAGCACAGACATATCGCGAGGTAGCCCTTCAAAACTGTGCGACCACATCGTGGACCATTAGTCAGGAAATGGGCATGTTTGCAGTATGCCCAATATCAGCTCAATAAGGTGCGTCAATGTTTGCAGCAGCGTGCACCATCAGCACTACGATCATTACTTCAGCTTCCCTTGACAATGCAAGCATAGAGAGAGACTGCAAATCTGGTGCATCGAACAACAAAGCTGAAGAAAGGAGTGGCACAAAGTCATCTTTTCAGACCAGTCCCAGTTCTGGGTGCAGTATTCTCATGGCCGTATAAATGTCTGGAGGCTCCGAGGAGACCATACGTCATCTGCTTGCATTCGATATGGGCATAGGGCTCTGACCTAATGTGACAGTTTGGGCAGTCACTGGGTATACGACACACACATCTCTAGTTCGGATCGATGGTTATTTGAACACAGATGGGTACATTTCTGACATCTTATGCCCAGTGGTTGTGCCTTATCTTCGAGGCACCCAAATGTCATATTTCAACAAGATAATACAAGACCACATGCTGCACGTCGTGTCTGACCTCCCTAGATACATAAAGTATTCGATTGCAGCCCAGGCCTACACGGTCTCCAGATCTTTCACCCATTGAAAACATCTGGTCATGGGTTGCTGAGAGACTGGCCCGCCACCCTCTCCAGCTAATACAGTTGACACAGCAAGGAATAAGTTGCCCATTTCTGTCATCCAAGCCCAGTTTGACTCCAAGCCTAATGGGGTAAGGGTCGTTTTAGCTGCCAGGTGTGGCAGCTGTTTCTACTAATTTCGCTCCCCTGTAAACCTCCAAAGTGTTTACAAATTTAATCATTTTGACTTCAAGACATACTGTTTATGTGCAATAAATAACTTTTTTGTATTTGCTTTTCTTCATGGTGTTGCAATTTTAATGGCAAGCACTGTATATGGTTCTGGTTCTAAGCTGACAGACTCTTTATTCAATGATAAACAAAAGTAAAGAAAAATTATCTTGCAGTCAAGTAAATATGGTACACTAGAGCTTTCCCCCCTGAAACAAGCAGCGGGGAGTGATGACGTAGCCATGATGACACTGAGCGCGGAGATGGAATTGACAACATAGAAATTAGCGTTTCAAATTTGAAGAGCCAGCATTTGAAATGAGCTGTGTGTGAAAGATAGCTACAATTTAGAAGAGACAATGTTACTGCAGTATGCATTTTACACTGAACATTAAAAAATTTAATAGTACTTACTCAATTTTAAAATAACAGATAAAATGCGCTACTCTTAGCATAAAGTTCCTTTTTTTAATTTGCAGGGATTTTTTTTTTTTAAATGCCTGTTTATTTCTAATCATTTCTTTATCTGCATGTTAACTAAGAGAACTCTACTACTGCTTCTAAGATAACTATAATAACAGCTATTTAAAATTAATCAAAAAACAACCTTAAATTGTCATAATTTTAAACATGTACGGTTATATATGGCAAAATTTTTGCTAATTTGAGTTTCAGCCTAATTGTAAATTTTACATTGGCATATTTTTTTCCCGATTCAATATAATAACATATATTTTTTTAAATAATTTTGTAACTTAGGCTTACATCAATATTACATTTAAATAAATACATGTAAGATTGTTATCTTAATTTAGACAAAACAACTTTACTCACAGTACCTAAAAAAATTATTTAATTTTTCAAAAGTGGGGGTTAAGGAGGCAGGTCTTCTTATGCCAATTACTTTAATGTTATTATATTTTATCTAGAATGCTAAGCTAGCACAAAATCGAATCAATAATAACACAGGGTACAATAAAAATAACTTTAACTTAAAAAATTAGTTCTCATTTTAAATATGCTTTACGCTATTAACTTCTAAAATGTCATCTAGAAATATTTCAAATCAAAACATATTATATATGCTTATTTGTACAGTCACAATGCAACTACAAGTTGTTGAAATATTATTTATTGGCTGCCACATTCGAAGCAATCAATTTTTTTTTCCCTCTGGGGTTGCTTTTCTTTGGGAAAAAACATATGCATTTCTATTTAAGAAACATATTCTAATTAAAGTTCGCACTCTGTAAAATAAAAAAATTGCTTCTCTGTTAACTTCAGGATAATGTTTCTCCAGTTCATTAATTAAAGAGCCAATTACGTGATTCACTTTATAAGTAAGCTGTACCATGAACTGCACAAAATCGA